TAAATAGGCTAGAAGCAGGAAACCTGCCAGAGAAGCAGTTGGCCCTCTGGATGGTGGTGGGGGGAAAGGGGAGGTAAAGGGGGACATGGAGTTTGCAGATAAATGAGTTCTTCGCATCTGTCTTCACGACAGAAGACCTTGGGCAGGTTCCTCTGCCCAAGCGGCCCCTCCTGACTAATGAATTAAATCAGATACAGGTTAAAAGGGAGGATGTTTTAGACCTAATTGATAAATTGAAGAAAAATAAGTCACCAGTCCCAGATGGCATTCACCCAAGAGTTATTAAGGAACGGAGGAATGAATTTGCGGATCTCTTAACTAAAATATACAACTTATCCCTTAAAATGGCCACAGTGCCAGAGGACTGGGGGATAGCGCATGTCACGCCAATCTTTTAAAAGGGAACCCAGGAAACTGCAGGCCAGTTAGCCTAAGGTCTGTTCCAGGGAAGATGGTGGAAAGCCTTATCCAAGATAAACTCTTAAAACACATAGAAGAACAAACCTTGCTGAGGGGAAATCAGCATGGCTTCTGTAAGGGTAAGTCTTGCCTCACAAACCATTTAGAATTCTTTGAAAAGATCAACAGGCTTGTGGATGCAGGTAAGTGAACCTCAAGTATTCTTACTAATAGTTCCCTCCACTCTCCCCCAGTTTCATTTTCTCAGCCTCAGCTCCGCAAGTGAGGTGAGAATTCCCTCCTGGTCCTCTTTTCTGAGGGCTCAGAGGTGGCAATAAGGCAGCCGAGGGGTGGGATGGGGGGTCAGTCCTTCATCTGGGGCCACCCTCTACACCACCTCCCTTTCTGTGTCTTTCTCCATCAGGTGATCACTCCCTGCAGCAGGACAAATGTATTTATATATTTGATTTATTTAAAATATTTGTACTCTGCCTTTCTCCAAATAGAAGGACCTAAGGCAGCTTATAGAGTTTGAAAGACAATATTAACGGCTAAAAACAAATGTTTGTTTAGTTATTAAGTCGTGTCTGACTCTTCGTGACCCCATGCCAGGCCCTCCTGTCTTCCACTGCCTCCTGGAGTTTCGTCCAATTCATGTTGGTAGCTTTGATGACAATAAATTATCGAAATAATAAAAAAGAATTAAATATACATTGTATTTAAAATATTAGGTAAAAACATTATTGAAACAAATTTAAAAGCAACACCTTATTTTAACACCTTTCTTAGAGAGCCAGTCATTAAAGAAAAGGCTGCCAAAACAGGAACACTTTTGCCTGCTGGTGGAAGGACAGCAAGGATGGGGCAGGGAGTTCCAGAGTCTGGGAGCAGCCACAGAGAAGGCCCTCTTGTGTGTGTCCTCACCACATGTACCTGGTGATGGTGATGAGACCAAGAGAAAGGCCTTCCCAATGATTTGAACACCAGGGCAGACTCATAAAGAAAAGTGGGAGCAGCTCTAATGAGGGAGGAGAGTGAGGGGGACCCATTAATTGGTTCTTTTCCTTTTCTTAAGGCCACCCATGTTAGAAAATCTATCTCAGCCTCTGCTGTGGGGAATTTTCCTATTCAGCCTCCTTCTGTGGGGCTTCGCAAGTGGGGTTGAAGGGGGTGGGAGGGAGGAC